ATGATTATCTACACACAATTTTATCACTGAACTAAACTTTTCACCCAAGAACTAGGCTATTTTAAAAAGCCGAAGTTGCATCTCTTGTTTTATCTTGTTTCATATTGATTAAGTTGCAGCACCTTTGGAGTAAAGGCATTTTCTCATTGGAAAATACAGTCTGAAGTAATGACTGTCATGTTTAATCTGGTTCCTTGGTAAAAAACTAGGAATAATGTTCCCATTTCAATAAGCCTTAACATAAAATTGCAAACAGAAAAATATCACCTTATTTTCCAATTATAGAAATCCCAAAGTATATATGTCTGCATTTATAGCTTTGCTTTTCATATTTATTCTTCTAACAGTGCTGGATATTTTCCATGTGATGAAAACTTTGGAATTTTTATTTTGTAGCATTTTCTTTAAATACTTAATAAAGCTTTTGGGCCATGCAATGAATATTTTAAACATAATCTGTGGCTCTATGAAATTCCTACTGGCAAATGTTTAGTAATAAATACAATGTTTAGGTCTTTTTTTTTTCTTCTAATCCACATTTTAATTCATTCCAAACTTTTGAAGAACTTCAGGTGCTAAAAATCCTTTTTTAGTTCTACTTAGAGGAAAAGAAAAATGCGGAATCGTGAACAGTTTGTTACTGCAAATGTGAGGGTTAAGCCGGAGGAAAGTTTGCCTTTCATGTAAAAGGCTGTTGAAGTTAACATGTACAAATTGTATCTCAGTTAAAGTAATGAAAAGTGATCAGTCCTTTTAATAATAAAATAGGCAGCAGATAAATAATAAAACAACAAATCCAAAACTCCAAAGAATGACACCCCCCCCAAAATAAGCCCAGAACAAACCCAGCCAGCCTCCCCTAAAACCTCAACCCAGAACAGCAACAAAACTACAGCTGCATTTTGATGCCAGCCATAGTGGTTTCCTTCCTATTAGCTATTGGCATGTGGCTTTTAATCAAGTGCTTTGCACAGCCTGGATTTGGCAGTAAAGATTGGGATACAGGAACCATGTTCAAGGTGTGGTCAGATGGACCTTATGCAGTCTGATCGAGAGAAAGGTAATTTATTAAACTATAGATTTGAATGCGTGTGAGCTGATGATATTCCTAAAGGGCAGAACTGCCAGGTGAGCCTGGGCTGTTCGGGTTTGTACTGGCTGTGCACTTGGGACAGTTTCATCTTTACTACTGTATGTCATAGAATCCTAGAATGGTTTGTGTTGGAAGGGACTTTAAGGGGCTTTAAAACTCATCTGGGACACCTTCCACTAGAGCAGGCTGCTCCAAGCCCAGTCCAACCTGGCTTTGAACACTGCCAGGGATGGGGCAGCCACAGCTCTGGGCAGTGCCTTCTCCTGGGCAGCGCCTCGGAGAAGAATTTCTTCCTAATATCTAATCTAAGTCTCCCTTCTGACAGGTTAAAGCCATTCCCCCTTGTCCTGTCCATACCTGCCCTTGTAAAGCATCCTTTTCCAGCTTTCTTGTCGGCCCCTTTAGGTACTGGAAAGCTCAGATATGTCTTACTCATGGTTGTGTAAAGATTTAAATTCTGTGGAAATGTTAAAGTTGTTGTTCTGCAAAATAATACAAGTATTGCATGCTGGAATTAAGTACTAAAGATCACAGTTTGTACAATGGGATAAAGAAATCCAGAATACATTCATTCTACTGTGCAGCTTCATCAAGCAATCAGTTCTGCTTCAGCTGAAGACTGGAGAGCAGCAGCTGACTAATGCCTTAGTTGTGGAAGCTGTTGGAGTTGCTTTTAATGGGAGTACCCTTTAAGTGCATCCCTGAATAATTACAACTTTGAACACATCTGCCTAAGCCCTACTTATGTATAATTTGTTAAAATATCTTGGTTTTAAGGTCTATTAAATTACTGGAAAGGGAGGAAAAAATCTTGTGTGCTAACATGCAAAAGTTTCAGTTGTCTGCCAAGCAAAATAAATCTATTTTAAAGGAATGCTGAAGGATAGAAAAGGATTTTTAGGATAGTTAACTCTTAATTTCTTCAAGTGAACCTTGAGTTATGAACTAGTGATTTTGAACTTGAGATGTCATCTGCTATTCCTGGAATTACTGGGATCACAAATCTTGCCCCAAGTACCCCACTGTAATTAGGAAGTAGCTTAAACCTTCATTGAGGGACAAGCTTCTCCAGTGTTCCTGTGTAATAATGGAGTAACTCGGTTACTGTGGAGGACCTGAAGTGCTGCAGGTTCATACCTCATTTGCACCAATATAGTTCATCCCCCATAACTCCAAAAAAATCCTGAGGTAGTTCTAGGTATTGTCTTACCTTGGTTGAAGAGTATTTCAGAGCATCTTGTGTGTTTCTGAATTAAAACATTCCATCTTGGGAAGCCACGCTTTTCTTTGATTCTGCCATGAGTTGTTTTCAAGACTGTTTTCAGGTTAATTAACTTCTTAGCATATTGGTTACTTGGTCTGTAAAATGCAGTATTAGTTTACAAGCACTGGGGAGGCGGTCAGATAGTATCATAGCGTCAGTACAGCTATCGGTCATCTGAGGTTTAGTTTTATTGGAGCTTCTGAGAGCAGGGAGGAGTCGGTGCACCTTCTGTTTTGTCTTAATTATTCTTATAAAACAAGAGCCAAAGCCTTAATATGTGGAGGTTCTTTTGTGAGACTGTAAAATAACAACAGGGGTAACTTCAGCATGTCTGGCACAGTTGTTTAAGTGACCCTCACTTAAGAAGTTATCCAGGATTGATGAGCCTTTAGGTAGGTTTCATTGCAAAACTGAAGGTAAAGTTTTACGTCTTCCATCTACTTACATCTTTGTCTATAAACCTGAACTGAGATTTTTTGGATCTATCCAAAGAGAGGAGTCTTGCTGATTCTTACCGAAATCATTCTGAAAAGACATATCCTGCAGAAGTGCTATTTATATCAGGTATTGATATCTAGCTTTTGGAGAAAGCGTAGGCTGGATTATGTTTTCCATTTATGTTTTCCACTGATTTTAATCATGAAATCCCTTTCTAATGACAGGTAGTGTGACCAATAATCTGGAACAGAAACAAGTGGCTGCTTATTATACATGCTTCATATTGTAAATGTATCTGTTCACATGACCTCAAAGGTTCACAACTGAAACGAGCTTCATTAGTGAATAATACCTTAACAAAAGTGACAAGTACTATTACATGTTTGTAATGGTAAACTATACTCAAGACGTGGACTATGCTCTTAAACTATTGCTTCTACAGATAATGCAGTTGGGCAACACCTTGATCATGTTAAGGGACCACTGCCACTGGTGGGGGTTTCCATTACCTGGAAGGGAAGAAAACTCTCAGCAGCATCATTTTCTCCCACAGTATGTCCTTTATATATAAAGTCACATAAAGTAGCTTCTGAAATATTGATTGCTCTTGCTAGTTATATCTTGGGCACTAGTGAGAGCACAGTTTTCTGTTTGTGAGGATTAAATTCAAGAAGCTATGCTACTTTAATTTTCTTACTAAATGTTCAAGTACTTCTATCTCTGGACTTTGTGCTTTCGATGTTATTGTTAATTCCTAGGCTTATTTTGTTTTAAATAATTGGTTATACATATTTTAGGGATATAATTTGATGTCTGTATCTGAAGAACAAATTTGCAGTTCTCTGGACAGTGCAAATCTGTTGGTGAAGCTTAGGCTAAAGTAGCTACAGTCTAGTTAAATATACATATATACCCACACATTCTTTGGATTGTCTGTTACTGTTGCCTAGCTTCCTTATAAAGCATTATCTCCTTCCTAATTCTATGATTTGCAGCTTTCTTGGTTGCCAAGAGGCTGTTTGAAAAATGTCTTTACGAAATAGGCTGTAAATAAGTCATTACAAAACCAATCACAGGTTCTTGCCCCCTCAAGGCTTCAGCTGAAATGAGCAAGCGCTTGTAAGATGGTTCTTTGTAAAATAAATTCATCTGCAACAGTTAAATATAACAACTTTGATTACTTGGGGAGTAGAAAAAGTACTTTGTTCCTTAATCTCCCTATTACATGAGCCACTTAAATCTTCAGTAGCGTGTGCTTCTCTTTCTGACACTGTTTTCCATTTTATGGTACTATAGTGGCAGGTGCTGCAGCTAGATCTGGAGATGCTCTGAAGCTTAAAAAGCAGAGTCTGTACAATATAAGCACAGAGAGATGCCCTTTAGGTAGACTAGTAAGAATCATTTCTCCTCTATCTAATGGGTACAGAAAGGTGTATTTGTTGCTTAACTCCTTCATAGAGGAGTAAGAGCTGAGAGGCAGCACTTGGTTTAAACCTTACTTATTTCTTTTCTTTCTCCTGGGTGTTTCTATAATTCAGATATAAGTTTAAACCTTTTAAGCCTTATAAATTACAAGGCAGGGTAAAGGCCTGTGTATTGTAATATAAATGGTGAATGTGCTATTGCCAGGTTTTTCCACAAGATGAAAATGCAATTATTGTGATGTTTACTACAGAAGATACCAAGAATAAAATAAAAATATTCACTTGTGTTTAAAAGAACCACTTTTCTTATTTGATTTTTACATATTTTTTTACACTATTTGTACTTCATTTATAGACTTCCAACCATCCTTAGTTTTCTGTACAAGGTTCAAAGTACTGTAAATCAAGGATTTGTGGCTCTCCAGGTGTTTGGCACACAGTATGAGAGTGCTTCTAAAAATAAATTGTTTACTTGAGTTCTGCATCTCAATACTGAAGAGCCATCACTTGCTTGGTTTTTCCTCATGACTCCTGCTGCCTGTCTGAAAATGGATGAAAAACAAGTTATGTCCCATTTTCATCACATATAATTTGAGCAGAATAAGTTTGTTAAAGGTGATGTTGTATTACTTTTGAGCATTATGAGTCATATACATGTTTCCTTTGTGAGGACTTCACATAACAAAGCACAACTGCTGTTTGTCTTTGATATAAAAATGTATATGTAAGAGGCTGTATTTGTTTATTAGAAACTTTGCTAATTATCGTAATTTTATTTCAGCTTTACTTTTGGAAGCTCAGTCAACGCCCTTTCAAATAACTCCTTCAACCATGGCAAATATTGTGAAAGGCCTGTATACACTACGACCAGGTAAAAAAGGAATGGTCTCTCATACTTTAGTTGATATAAAAATAGAAATGAGGATGGGAAAGGTTTACAGAAAGCTCTAGTTCTTGTATGCAAGCTAGGAATGGGGTGGACCCTCCATTTACAAATTGCATGGATAAAGCTCTTTCAGTAAGCAGGGATTATTTTTACAACAGCAAAAGTAACATTGTACCATCATTTTTAAGGCAACCCTGATTTCATTTTTGTGAGCTGTTCAGTACCAAAGAAAAGAAGGGTGTATATATAATTCTTTTGAAAGGAGCTCAGTTTGGTTTTCTTACAGGTGATGGACTTGTGATTTCCCAGTTTTCCATTTCAGCTGATCATTGTTGTCTACTTCACAACACAACAGATACTGGTTTGAGTTGGTACCATGTGCCTAATTGGATTTTGAATAGTTGCCTTATGTCTGTAAGATACTTAAGTATAAAGATTGTTCCTACAATCTGCCTGCTTTCCACAGCTGGTAGGAGGACCCAAGTGGCTGACTTTAAGCTGTTGTTTAAACAATACATATTTTCTCTGGTTACCTGCTCCTCAAGCTTCTCAGCCTGTGAGAAAATAAGGAACTTTAATGTCATTCCAACCGAAAGAGCACAGGATACACTTCTTGATGTAAAAGGCTGTTCTTTCTCTGGTGATGCTGGTTCTCGAGGATGAATTCTGAAACAGTCAGGGCAAGAGTTTCTCTGAGGCCATGCTTTGCTACTTATTCTGTGGGACTTGCTCCATTGGATGTGTTATGGGTCTGGCAAGCAGGTAACTGGAGAAGTAAAGCAGAAAAATGTGGTCAGTTGGATGTGCTGGGGTATTAGAGCAGCACTAGGAAGTGTCTGCTTAGGCAGTGTAAAGAGCAAAAGGAAAAGTGATGCTGATGTGGCTGGTGGTGATGGGCTTTCTCTTGTTTTCTCTTCAGGCAGAAAGTACTTGACAGGCTGTTAGATTTCAGATGCTGCCAGAAAAGACTGTCTTCTAATTCTAGCTCCAGCGTGTGGTGCCTGTATCAGAAAACACTGGAGCCTGGGCAGGTGCTCAGGCTGCTGGTTGGCCCACTTGGATTTAGCTTGAAATACTCTTTTCACCTCGCCCATGATGATCTGGCAGTGGCATGAAATATTCTACCACAGTATTTCATATTGTGAATTCCAAGTCAGTTTATTAGCTTGGCTAAATGATTCAGTGGCATTAGGTCTTTAGTAGGTAACACATTCCACATGGTATCTTTTTCCTGTATTTCATCAGACAAACAGTGCTGTTTCATGTCTGTAGAATTTGGGGGTTTTGTTGGTTTGGTTTTGCTTTTCATTTTACCTGGGGAGCTACAGGCCTGACAGCCTGACCTCAGTGCTGGGGAAGGTCATGGAGCAGATGATCTCAAGGGCCATCACACAGCATATACAGGATAACCAGGTGATCAGACCCATTCTGCATGGGTTTATGAAAGGCAGGTCCTGCTTGACTAACCTGATCTCCTGTGACAGGGTGACCTGCTTAGTGGATGAGAGAAAGGCTGTGGATGTTGTCTATCTGGATATCAGTAAAGCCTTTGACACCGTTTCCCACAGCATTCTCCTGTAGAAACTGCCTCCTCATGGTTTGGATGGGTGCACTTCCCTGGGTAAAACTGTCTGGATGGCTGAACCCAAAGACTGGGTATTTAGGAAAAATTTCTTCACTGAAAGGCTTGTGGAGCACTGGAACAGGCTGCCCAGGGAAGTGGTTGAGTCGCCATCCCTGGGGGTGTTTAAAAGATGTGTAGATGTGGCACTTAAGGACATGGCTTAGTGGTGTACTTGGCAGTTCTGGGTTAATGGTTGGACTTGATGATCTTAAAGGTCTTTCCCAACCTAAATGATTCTGTGATGAGGGAGTTTAGTGCATTGGTTTTTGTTTAAACCCCCTGTACACTAATAAAGAGGATTTTCTAAGTTTGCCAGTTAGAGTGAAGAGTGAAGTTTGGCATTGACCAAGTAAACATATGTGGGAATTGGGTGAAAACTTGTCATATGCCTTAGTGAATGTTTTTAAAAGCATCCCTTTTTTCCAAGTAAAGATGGAGTCTAAGGTAACTGCTATAACCTCTGGGAAGGTTGGCTTCACAAGAGGTATTTATTTTTCTCAGAGCAGTTGCTAGAAACCCAATTTTCATCCTTGACTCATTCTGTGTTTCATATAGTCAGCCTTGACGCAACTTTAAGGTAAACTATCTTGCTCCTGTAAGGCAATGTTCGGTATAGTGAAATTGCATTTCTGTCCTGAAACTGAACTAGTAGAGGTTAATATTACATAATAAAGATTAGAAAAGTGTTCATCTAAGCCTTGGAAGATCGGGAAAAGAATTGCATTAATTCATTTGAAATGGGGGATGGAGAAGCAGGGTTGTATGGTGACATTAGTGTGATTTCTAGAAGGAAGGCTCAGCTCTGTGAATACACTCGCAGAGTAAAGTGTTACAAATGAGCTGATTATCTAGATGAGTTGATAATCAAACTTGTCATTGAGGTGAGTGCAGAGACTCAGCAGGACCTGTGAGATGCAGCAAGAACTGAATTTCAATTTGGTGATGAGGTTGATGGCAAACAGTAAATCTTTTATCTACATGTAAACATCTGATTATTTGTTCTGCTTTATGGCTTGGTTTCTGTGGAGTTTGGGGATGGTTTGGGGTATTTTGGGTGGAGTATTTGTTTGTTTAAACTCAAGATCCTAAAATGTGTTTAAAACGGAGCAAAGTTACATTTGTCAAAGAATAAAGTTTTCACAAAAGATCTTTTCCACATTTTGTTGTTGCTTCCCCTTTTCTTACAGAATGGGTACAGATGGCACCAGCTTTGTTTTCCAAGTTCATCCCAAATATTCTACCACCTGCTGTGGAATCTGAGCTTCAGGAATATGCTGCTCAAGACCAGAAACTTCAGAGAGAGCTTATGCAGAATGGATTTACTAGGTAATAATTATTAGTCTTCAGTAGTAATTGTGCTGGACAGTGCTGAAATGGTAAAAATGGATACACCTAAAAATACTGAAGAAATAATTCAAGAGTTAATAAATAACCTTCACAACTCAGTATTTGAAAATGGCCTTATTTTCCATGCTTTTTGAGCACTGCCAACCCTGCAGATGATACCAAAAAGATGATTGCAAGTCTTGAAATATTTTCATGAAAAAGATTGCTTATAGTTCATAAATTCAAAACACAATTCCCTGTGTTTTGATTGTTTCTAATGTATGATTATGCCCTTGTTCAGCCTTTACTTTGGCTCTTCAGTTTCTGTAAACTGACTTCTTTTCATTATGTTTCTGAAAATGCCAGTTGATGACTTTCTCCTTATTCCACTTATAGAGCTATTTATATAGTTAAGGTGTTTATTTTAAATAGTCTTTTTCTCATCTAAGTATTGAATTAGGGAGGGCGAGAAAGAAAAAGCAGCAAAAGAGACAGCAGAAAATATTCCTGGCCTGTATTATGCCCTCTGGGGAGTCCCTGTTGCTTTGTGCTCTTCTATTTAACTGCCTAGATGGAAGCACAGTGCTTTCGCTACAGCAGTGTACCACTTTTGTAGTAGTCTTAATCTGGGGGAGCCATTGTGCTCTGTTCCCAAGAGGATCATTTCTGCATGAAGAGAATAAGTCTTCATCTTTCTTGTTACCTGTGCAACGCTGAGAATCTGGTCCTGTAGTTTGAACGCCCGCTAGACATGGGTATATTTAGTGTAAGATGTACTCCTGGATTTCATACTCTCAAGTGTGAACAAGTCCAGAGGAGGCCACGAGGATGGTCAGGGGACTGGAGCACCTCCCGTATGGAGACAGGCTGAGAAAGTTGGGGCTGTTCAGCCTGGAGAAGAGAAGGCTGCGTGGAGACCTCATAGCAGCCTTCCAGTATCTGAAGGGGGCTTACAAGGATGCTGGACACGGACTCTTCACTAGGGACTGTAGTGATAGGACAAGGGGTAATGGGTTAAAACTTAAACAGGGGAAGTTTAGGTTGGATATAAGGAAGAAATTCTTTAAGGGTGGTGAGGCACTGGAATGGGTTGCCCAGGGAAGCTGTGAATGCTCCATCTGTGGCAGTGTTCAAGGCCAGGTTGGACGAGGCCTTGGGTGACATGGTTTAGTGTGAGGTGTCCCTGGCCATGGCAGGGGGGTTGGAACTGGATGATCTTAAGGTCCTTTCCAACCCTAACTATTCCATGATTCTGTGTAGGTTTCCTCAAAGGTGATCTTTCTCTCTTCAAAGCTTGGTAAATTATTGAGCTTCAGAACTCTACTGCTGTTTCAAATACAAATGGTTTTGTAGGCCTGCTCCTTGTAAGGCTTTCTGGTGAGGAAAAGATGTTTTTGGCAAGTACACACACGAGTTAAGGCACTGAAAACAAGCCATAAGGGCTTGCGCTGAAAAGAGCAGTGCAGCTGGCACAAGATAACAGAAGTTTGAGACTTGGAAACTGAGTTGGCCTATAATGCTGACAAAAGAATGTAGTACACAGAACAAAAAAGGGAACATTTTGGTTTTGTCTTTCAATATTACTAATCCTGTAGGTGGCTTCTAATATTCTGCTTAAAACTGCATTTCACCAGTTTCACAGTTTATAGAGAATTAAAAATCAAGTTTCAAGTAGTAACAGTTCGTATCCACAAAAACAATCTGTCTCAAAAACATTTTTCCCTAGGTACCTGAAAATAAAAGAGGCTTGTTAGCCTGGCTGTGAAGTTCTTTGGCTGGTGCTGTAAGGAAGATGCTGTATAAAAGGCTAGGAAGGATACTGACCACTGCAAAGTCTAGACACCTCTGTGGTGCTCTCTTGGTAGAGACTTGGGGGCATCCTCAGAAAAGTAACAAGTTCTCTTCCTTCAGGCTTTATGCAGTATGGCATCTTCTGGGTATTGAACACGTGAAGAGTTTTGGTATACCTTGTAGGTTTAGGCAATTGGCCCAGCCTAGCCCATGCTTTTGCACAGCTGCTGTTTCTACATAACTGCTTACAGTGTATTAAATAAAAATGCAAACTAAACCTTTGCAGTGGAATAACTGATTGATGCCATTTAGTTTCTGGTGAATGTGTTTTGCACTGCATATTTATATGGTTTTACTGTCAGGGGGTCAGTGCAGTCTGGTAAACATGGAGGTCGTATGAAGTGTTAGAGTCTGTCATCATTAAAAGAATACATGTAAAAGAAAATAAAAACAGGTAATATATTTGCTACATGGCATTTTGCAGTGGCATTTGAAACACATTTTGGTTTGCATATTACATCTTGAAATACGTTTCTTCCTGTGTTGTAAATAAATATAACTTATTTATAACTCAAAATTGGTCTGAGGTTGTATTCCTACACATATAGATGTATATACTTACACTTAAAAAAGGTTGTTTTCTCTTTTAGCAGGTAATGTGCCAAATCTGTTCTCTTCTAGTTTAGTATGAAAGATCATCTGTTCTTCCCCAATTGCACCAGAAATGGTGAAGTCTTTGCTGCTGCATTTCCCTGTAAAGCAATAACCTTGAGGAACACAACACAGTGAGGTCTCTTGGGCAGCATTAACAGCATGTCAGGTTTTAGTTGAAATAGTCAGGTTATAAACACTATTAAATACTATTGTTGCAGGATAGGCCAGTTGCTTGGCAGTATTTCTTTTGCGAAGGACCTTAATCAAGGCATGCACAGCAGGTCAGTCATCTTAAGAGTTTCTTCAGGGAAGAACATTTCATATTATTGGAAAAAAAAACCAATAATTTCTGCCAACTTCCAGCAAATAAATGTGACATTATAACCACTGTGATGAAAATATATTAGAATCTCTCTTCTTTAACAGCATCAATAGCATATCTATCACCACAAGGATGATAGGTATTTTCCAGCTTCTGAGAGTTCGTGTGCATAAGAATAAAAGGAAAGAAACCATGTTTTCCAATGGGAATTCAACTTTGGGGTTTTGGGACCAATTATGTCAATCAGTGTTTATACAACTTTATAGTTACTTACTTAAATTTTCCCCTTGAAGAGGGAGTGCTCTCAGCTCAGACTCGCCTAGAGTCTGTTGGGTATTCAGCAGCATTGTACCTTTCTACAGTGATAGATGCAGAGTTTTTCACATAGCTCTATAAAGTTCAGTTAAGGAGTTTGAAACAAAGAAAACAATTTTATGCATGACTTAAGACCATGCTACATACGAGCAATTTTCCTGATCTTAATTTTGTACAAAATTATCCTATAAAATCAAACAGACTTTAATGGAAGGATGAGCTAATTAAATCCAAAAAATATAGCTTATGCTTCTGTCTAGTGAATTGAGAATCCTGTAGTCATGTGTTATTGCTGCTATGTTTGAATTTTGATTCTGAAGTCTATGAAAGCTGATGGCTGTGCTGAGGTATTTCATACTAATTTCCCTTTTTAAAAATCATTGAATGGTTTGGTTTGGTAGGAACCATTAAAGGTCTTATCCAACCCTCCCTGCTACAAGCAGGAGCATCTTCAGTTAGTTCACATCATCATGAAAATACCTTTCTTCTCTTTCTTTCCTAGAGGTGACCAGTCACGCAAGAGAGCTGGAGAAGAGTTAACTTACAGTAAGTATGCATCTACCCCTGCCCTCCAGTGTCCTGCAGTCCCCGAGAGGCTGGGCATACAGGTAGTGGTGGTCTTCTGGCTTCTCAGGGGTGGTGAGGTATCAGGGACTGCATCTCCACATACAGCTATTTGGGTGTAGTGAAAGTCCCATGTTTTGTGCTGACTATATACTTGTCCAGGGGAGAATCTAGTCCTGTACATTCCAGGTTGGGATTGAAGTACAAGGTCCTGATTGTCATTAAATAGCCTTGGAGACTGGGGATTAATATCTTTAGTTATTGCCAGTTCATTTTATTGCATTCTTTCCACCAAGTTTTCTCCTGTGCCTTCAGCTATTTGCTTTATTTTCTACCATAAAATATCATACAGTTTTATGATTAACTGTTATTACAACTTGAAATGAATGAATGGATATTTATATGTTATACCAGCTTCTGTTTACCCTGTTGATGTTTTTCAGTCAGTGCTGGGTTTTGGGCTGTTGGGGGAAGAGGGGTAAAGGACATAAGGTGGAAGTTTTAATACAAGAGAATTTCTTGAACTTTTAATGTAATTTCAGATGGCTCATCAACTTGTGCAAGCTCCAGGGGGTACAGATAGTGAATATACTGGATCAGCTTCTATTCCTAGCCAGAACAGACACTGGAGGAGCGCAGGTGGTATCCGGAGCCTCCTTTGGCAACTGCTGATACTCGAGCTCTGACACGAGCTATGCCTCAAAGAAGAGTTTTGGACTTTCTTCTTTATATAATAAAATGTCAGTTGCTGCTACAGTTGGGATGACTTTGAAAGACATGTTTCCTTGGTCTAACCTACCGACAAGTTCATGTTCTGTGATTTTTTTCTGTGAGGAATGCACCTTGAAAAACGATCCTTTCAAAGTGGAAACGGGCAGCGAAATCAGCAGCTTCCAAAAGCGTTAGAATGGAAGAATCTTTTTTGCACTCTTTTCTTAATATTAAGGACATTCTTAAAACTAGTTAACACATCAGTGTATTAGTTTTTAAACTTCAAGGTATTTTCTGGAGCTTTTACTTAATAAGAATAAAGTTTCATTATTTTACAGTATTTGTTTGTTAGTTCAAAAATGGTCACCTTTGAGGAGTTGGTCCCATGTAAACGTATCTTCTGTCAGGGAGTTTAAAATTCCAGATTTTTCTTTTCTCTTTGTTTTTTTTGTTACTTGGTATTTTGAATCTCTTTTCCTGTGTGTTTGTACTCTGTGCCTTCAGCTTGTGCACTTTGCAACTTCAGAGACCATATTTTGTTTACTGCAAAATGTGCTCGAGTCAAAACTTGATGCGAACAAACATGCTGCAAAGTTGCACTTTTCTCTTGCATTAATGGGAGGTGAATTTAATGAGGAAGGGAGAAAAGTTGAACCTGTCACCATCACTGATAGTGACTTGAAAGTTTGTCCCCTTTTTAATTTTCCTGTATATTTGTGTTTAATGCTGGGACCAACTCTTGCAGAACCCTCTCATTGACTTTTCATTGGCTTCCATAATTGCAATAGATCGAGATGTGAATTCCAGATTGAATGAAATACTAAGATATGTTTTATGTTGTGCTATGTAGCGACATTGTGGACAAAATTCTCCAGTCCAGTAGGTCTGCAGTGTGCATCTTTGTCAGCACAAACTAGATGTGCACCTGGTAGATCTGCGAACAATGGTACCTGTCCAAGATCACTTGGTGGCTTCTGTGCCACTTCTCCTGTTTTGGGAATGTGAAGGGGGTATGATGGTGGGTGTAGTCAGAATCAGGGAGTTGAGGAGTGGTGTAATGCAGCCTCTTGCTTCCAGTCTTGTGTAGACTCAGTTGGATATCCAGCTGAGCCCAGTTCCAGGAGATCTGGACTGATGGTCTAAATCCTAGTGATTGTGACATGGGTTTTAATCAGTGGTATGTCTAATGCAGTTCTTTCATGAGAGGAGACATATACTTGAAAAAGCAGTTTGACTACAGAGTTTGTTGGTGTTTGGGTTTTTTTTTTGTTATTACTATGGATTTATTTTCAGTACCTTTAGTTCTGAAGAGAAATGAGTTGGTAATATAAAATCTTTCCGAAGTGAAACAAACTTTGTTCAGTTTTGTCTTGCACAACTCTTACGCCTGTTTAAGAACAGCACCACACAGACACCCACCAACCCCCTTTATGCTTGCATGAGTTCATTACAAAATGCAGGAAAAAGACAAAAATAGATGCGGCAGGGACAAAGCTTCTTTTTGTTTTTGTTTTGTATCCAGGAGTCATGTAAATGAATTTAATTCAGTCCATTTCACATCAGCCGCTTTGGCAATGCCGCTAGTTTGGAGGGTGGCAGGGAGGAAGAATGAGAAGGACACTGCTGTGTTTGACAGATTCAGATCTGATTTACCTGTGTGTTTCTTTGCATATTTGCAAGGACTATTTAATTTTGAGGCAGCTTTTCTTTTAGAATGAAAAATGAATGTTTGGTGTGGTGTTTTCTATGTAGAACAATGCCAGCAATCTAATTTCATCCCCAGTAATGGAAAATCAAACCACTTGGTAGGGATTTTTCAAGTGTTGATAGTGCTTCAACTTTGCTATTAGGTACTTAAGTTGAAGCAGAATTAGGTACAAACAGGGGTTTTGTAAATACACGGTGGATAAATTAATGAAGGCTTGTAGGGAACAAAATGATTTGCCAGCTTCCACATTTTCTGACAGTTTTGGATTTGAACAAAAATAAAACCTCTGATAGCGTCCTTAGCTTTAAAATAATCAGTGTTTACTGAAATCATGACATTCCTGAGTAAAGAATAGATGCATTAACCTGATTTGGTTAAAGTCTGTTTACAACTTCATTACCATTCTAGCCCATATAATACAGTAATCAAGCTCTGTTGTCTTTGTCAAATGATCACAGTCTTTTTCTGTTCTTAAAGTGGTTTTACTGGGTCAAGTTTGTAAATAACATGCTTTCGCTTCATTGTCTGAGGCAAGGGTTCAACATTCATTTTACATTGCATTATGTTTGGGACACAAACTTCTTGAACAGTAAAGGTAAAGCATTTCTGTTGGCATGGTTCACTCTGTGTGCCATGAGTAGTGCTTGCATATTCCTCAGTCCTCTGTAGCATTCTCACTTGGCCACCATACCAGAGAAATCTGTTTGTTAAGCACTGTATTATGTTGTAAATTTGGCATTAAAATTCCTGTATGTTTTGGCATTATTAACATAATGCTGAAATACTGTTTTATCTGTTGAAGACGTTCTCATTGTGACTGAGCATGGAACAGAATACAGCTTACGATACTGAATCATTTTGTTTCTCTGTAAACTTTTACTTACAGTAAAACTAACTCAGCCGACTTGAGCATTGGTACTGTTAAGCCACAATTACCAACAGCATGATCCTAACTGCAGTATTTAATTTAACCAGATAACTTGTGGTAAATCCATTGCATTTGTAGCTTACTCTGTTAAGATTAAGCAGTAAAGTTGGTTATACCATGGGTGTCGTCTTCATGTTGCACTGGTTCTACAGCCAAACTTGCTACATTAAAATATTTGTAGATTAATTTCATTTCTTGATTTGAGAAGTTGAAATATTTGAATTCATCCTACTGTAATGATAGGCAAGTGTCAATATTTGGTCAAGATGGTCTTTGATACAAATGGTGAAGCTGAGGGGTACTAACTAGGTAAGTATTTAATTCCTCCACAGTTAGATATCCTCGGTGTCTTTGTGTAGTTGTTGAGGAAGTGTTTATGAATGAATACTCTGAAGCCAAAGTGTTCATTCCTATTGTTTGATAGAAATGTGATCAGCCACATCCATTGCTTTTAAGTTTTCCATGACAATGGTTATTTACTTCCTACAGGTTTGCAAAAAGGAAAGACTTACAAAGGCCATGTTCTGAGTGACTAGGAAATGCTTTTCATGTACACTGTGGCCCTAGCGAAAGGACTATTCTGTAGATCTACAAATAAGAACCAGCTGCTTGAATTGGACTCCTGTCTTCAGCCCAGCTCTAGTAGAGAGAAAACAAAGATGCCTGTTTTTGGTGCCTTGACATTCACCAGGTGGCCAGAGGGTACTTAGTTGGGCTCACAGTGCAGACCCTTAGGATCAGTTGATCACAACCAAAAGGTCCAGCTAGGGAGGAACAGTCATTGCTTGAGTTGATGTCCTGGCCTTTCTGGTCTGCTGGGACTACGATGGCATGGGGATAGGCACTGTGCAGATGCCATTTTAGTTGAAAATACTTCTTCTGTTGACAACTGATTTTAAATTGCGTTCATAGCTGAATGCTCTAAGTAAGTTTGTTAATGACAGTATTTGCTTGCATCAGTGGTGGTTGCTTTTCTGCTCTGAATTTCCTTCACTTAGAGCACCTCCGCTAGAACCTTTTAAATACACATTAAAGATCTCTGCGTCTTTATGGAGATGTTTGCATGGTGTAATACTGAGCTGCAAACTGTGCTCCCGACATTGTCACCAGGCAGGGAAGATACAGATTGTCAGGCTTTGCATGTCCCCCTTTCTCTGACCCAGGGGTCTGTGATAACAGATACATGCCTTGCATCGTCCACATTCTCAGCATTGAGTCCGATCTGTGAAATGAAATTGTAGTTCTTGGTCCTGTTCAGCCTATTTCTACGTAAGATAGAGGAGAATCTGCAGGTAGAGTCTTTCCTTCTGGAGCTTTCTATGGCTGTTAGAGGAGAAGGATCTTTCCTCCACGGGAAAGGGTTATCTATGTGTCATTTTTGCCTGCTGGTCTCCAGGGCACAATGTGGTGCAAGACAGCCAGTCATGAGTGCACTATGCTTCTAGCATGGTGAGACTTTAATTCTGGATTTAATCTAGGGTAGCCAAGGCTATTTTCAGTGAGTTTACAAACTCCAGGTATAGGTAATCACTGAAGGCATGAGTCAGGAGTGGATTTACTCTGGCAGGTGTCATTGTAGTAATTACAGGTCAGAGGAAGTTATTTTGTCCCAGGGGGTGTTACTTCCTGTAGCATAAATTGATGTAATTCTGGCCCAACAAGATGCTGTTATACCCGTATGCCTGTTAGGAAAATAATGTTGAAGAATCTAAATTTCATCTTTATCAGCAGTAAAATCAGCAGGCTTTGAATGGGAAACAATCACATGTGAGAGGAAGCCTTACCTTTTGGCAGGAGGCACACAGACCATCAGCATTACTGCATTAGCAGAACAAGACAAACTTGCTGATTTGGCCTCAGTTGAAAGCTCCTTGACAGAGTGCTTTGTACTTTGCCAGAGGGAATGGGAGGATTAAACCCATGTATCTTGACCTAACTTGAATGACTGGTTTAAGGGGATTCCAAAATTTCACAGTCTGAGTGCTCAGAAATCCCTCCTGGCTGTCTCTCTCTGTCCCTGGGATGCTTCAGATACACTTGGTTAATGTTCCTCTTTCGGGAGCTTCTGCAAACTGATCTGATTAGCATAGAACAGGAAAGTTGACTCCCATAACAACGACAAGAGAATGGATTTAGTAATAACATTTACTGTGTCTTTAGTATTGTTTTTCAACTAATCATTCCTTAAGAAAAACTGTTAGTTTCTGGGGTCATCAGTGGTTTCTATTAGAGGGCAGCAAGTAACTTATTTGTTAGTGCCATTTGCCATCTATTGGCAAATTGAATGACTTTGTACAAAGAACAGTTCATAAACGAGTATCTTAAGATGTTTGGTAGATGGTACTCTTCGGATGAGTGGCATTGTCTGGATAAGAGCCCCTGTTTGAAGTACAGGATGTGCAGAGGTATCAAGACAGCCAAAGAGCTGAGGTGGTCCATCTGGTTGAGTTCATGCTGAAGTGACTTGCTCTGTGTATGCCCCAAAAGTCACTGCCAATTCTGTAGGGTTGGTTAGCTGGTGGACTGCAGATTCATGACTTATCTTCATGGTAACCTGTTTCTGTGGCAGGAATGGCTGAGCAGTGACACACGACTCACATTTGAAACATGTCAAGTCTTAAAACTGCCTGTTCGTTAAGGTGCCTAACTTAAATTGCCTGTATGGGCAACATGAAGCAAAAGATTTCTTCATCAGGCACCACACAGCACCAGATGGATGTACTTGAAGACTTCCATTTTTGAGCCTCTGTTACCAGCCGTGGCCTGCTGGTACTTGAACCATCTCATCAAAGGAGCTGGAAGCAGAACTTGCCAGACAGGACCTGTCCTACCTGTCGAGAGCAGAAGGAAAACGGGCCTGTTGTGTTCTGTTCTTAATGACTTTGGTATGGAGTCCTGACTGAGCAGGCACCTGCTGTTCCTGGTTGCTTGGATAGCCTGAGTTGTGCAAGGAACACAGTTTAGATGTTTTAGTCTGTTGGAATGAATCGCAGGCAGAATTTCATCCAAGCTATAGAACCATTTTCCTTACATTACAGAGATGCATCAGACCTGATGATTATCTGCTTGAAATCAAAATAATCTCATTACCCTATTTGTTCCCTCAGTTACAACTTAGGAACGTGTGCTCAAGAGATAATACATTTTCTGGTTATGGCTCCAATCTTCTACTTCAGAGAATGTTGTAGTTACTGAGTACAGATCCACGGGGAGAGAGACCCATAGAGTAAAATGCAGTTCTCTGTGCATACTTCTGTTTTACACTTCCCTCCAGGGATGTGGCATGAACTGAAAAGCTGCACACAAAATCCTTCACCTCATTTATGTTTTGGCTTAATAATGTTTTATTCTGTCTTTGCTAATAATTCCCAGTGTTGAATTTGCCTTTTCTTAGTAACTGCTGTATATCACACTAGCACTTCTTAGAGCTGTGTTACAATCCCAAGATGTCATTTGTGAGTAACTCCTCTTTGTGAAAGCAAAACTGGGATCGTGTTTTCCCAGTGCCTCGTTTTGTCAGTCAATGTAAACATTTGTAACCTGGATCTCTAACCCCATCGCTTAGTGAAGTGCAGTCCTGTAGCTCTTTGTAGTCAATCTTCCTCATTCTCTCCTTGCATGATGGCACGTGAGCCCTGTTTTTCATGTTCTCAGCTACTTCTGAACACAGCAACCAGTGTAACCCCAGCACTTGGGTCTTCTGCTGGTGACCTCTGCTGTGAGCACTGTCAGTTCCTGCTCTGTAGCTTTCCAATGACAATTTATACATGTGGAAAAGCTTCTCTGTTACCTCATGGTAGCTTTGTGAAGAGCTTTCAGTGAGCGAGCTCACTGAACACCCCATGGAAATCTGTATCAAAGGATCTCACTCACCATGTGCTTGCTGGAAGATCTGCCCTGGTGCAACTCAGCTGCATTCCTTGTCATTTGAAGCCATGTATCAATGCTATACATGCTGAAACAGGCCCTCATCACTCATATTTTATAGCTCACCATTTAGCACATGAGTGTTGCTGGATGGACTCAAGTGTCCAGATGCTGACATCACAAGATGACGAGCTCAAATGGGGATTTGTGATGTCATGCTGTGATCCTGCTGAGGAAATGGGAATTGTCAAGGTGATTTCATTGGGTAAAAGGAAACAAGAAGGACTTATAATGATAGGATTTTATTTAGGAAAGAGCTTCTGCAACTCCTTTGCTGCACATTCTCTCAACTCAGACTAACTGGTCATCGTCCATGATTTGCTGATGCAGGACAAGAAAGCAAGCTTGGAAGTTGTCAGATCCTCTTGTCTGCTTGCCAATGCAGCTATCCATGTACTTACATCTGAAGATCCAAACTGTGCAAATGAGAATGAGGAGAGCATCCAGTAGCAATTCAGCTGCTCTGGCTGAGGTTTAACACCCGCAATTGTTGCTGCAGAATGGTCTCTTTCATTTACAGGGTGCTTTAATGCCTCAGTGAAATTGCCTGTCATCACACTTAACTTTGTTGTTCTGTTAAACCACAGTCAATCATCTTCAGATGTCAGGAATCCCCTTTGAGGTGTATTTACTGAAGCCACTGTGCCCCTCCTGAAGCGTGAGCATCACTGAGCTCTTTTGTAAGGAATCAAAACTGTGGCTTCCAGTTTCCCAGCCCTATGGTGGCATTGACATGGCTGCTCCGAGGTCCCCGCTCAGTGGTACCCAGGTTCCTCATGCGTGTCCTGCGAGCGTTGCAGTGAAGCTTTTAATTAAAGATGTAATGACTTACTGTGCACGTGGCTTGTGGCTTACCTTTGGGGTTGGGAGATGGTTTGCCTAATACACAGCGAAACAAAAGATTGTGCTTTGCTCTGTATTTGCTGTTCCCAAGTGAGCAGGAAGGACAGCTCTCCTTTGGACTTTGGGGTAGAAAGCTGAATCCCACTGGGCAGTGACTGTGCTCTGGTCTTGGAGAGGGCACTTTTCCATATGCCATAAAGCATAAAGCTACATGATGAAAATAGAGCAGGATTCCCCAGTGTGTGTGTGTGTGTAGGTGCTGATGGTGGCAGAGCTGCTGTCCACCATGCCCAGGCTGAAGTTGTGTGCTGGGCTGGGGAGGATGTTGTTACTTGTGCCACCAAATGGTGCTTGTGTTCCTATTTAGCAATTTCCAAGGGAGAACAAGCCTCTGTTCTTCAACTGATGTTGTGACTTTGCA